CGAAGCCATGGTCCGGAGCGAGACGGAATGGGATGCCGTCACCACCTTCTGCGAAGCAGTGATGCTAGCGAAGGAGGTGGCGGAGCGGGAGAAGGAGAGAGCAGCAGCTTTCCTCCCCGGCCGCCGCGGGAGACGCCCCGGGCGTCGGGGGCTACGTCGTGGCCCCCGGCCACCGTAGGCGCGGGCCTGTGGACGGCGAGCAATGGGTAGCTCGTCGTCCGTCCGTCTAATGACGACAGGCCGTGTCGACGGCGCGTTTTGTTCCACGCGCGCCTCAAAGAGCTGTCAGCAGCGTGAAGGGGCCCGCAAGGGCCGACGCCTGCCGGGGCTGCGGGCTGTTCGAAAGAGATACCGCGGCTCCGGAACGTAAGGGCACTGAAGGAACACGGATGGTTTTTAGTCAGTAAAAGTCTGACACTCCCTTACGCTCCACCCAGAGCGAAAGGGGTCATTAGATGATTTTCCATCCGCAAAAAAAAATAGTAATAAAAGTATTACACGTAATTGTTCCATTTTATTAAACATTGATATAACAACTTATATAATTATTACTTTTATATATCCTTTTATTTATTCAATTATGTAAAATTTATTTTTAAAACACAATGTAATAAGTTTTATTTATTTAAAATTAATTTTCAATGTTTAATTACTAAACCTAATGATATAAAATAAATTGCCGATGCTTGTGCAATTTATTTTGTTTGATTTAAGAAAAATCAAATAACACTAAAATTCTAGCAAGCAAAAATAGATGGGAACAGAGATGGACGTAAAAAGGTTTACTCACAGTACACTCGAACTCATCCTTATGCCTAGGCTAGGAAGTCTTATTTCTTGATGTCCTGATTCGAATTCGACAAATTTATTTCGGTTCGTAGATTTCGCGCAAGTGAAAGACTGCACCGTAAACTGCTTCACGAGGACTGATTTGGGAGTCTTCTTATACGAGCAAGCTTTCCACGCGAAATCCTACCGGCTGCGCCAGTCACGATTTGAAATTGACTCAGGACATTTTAAAAAAGACTTTATTTTAAAAACTTATTACTATTAATGTGCGATACATTACTTATACTACTTAATCAATCCGCGATGAATTCTAACTTAAAGCTATATGTCCGATACATGTGAGAGTCTAACTATGACTATCCTAATTCTTAATCTAGATCATTTAAACTAAAGAATGGTGCAGTTCCGGGAATACCGGGATGCATAACTAGCTATATCATGATATAGTCAACAGACACTGTTAAACTTTATGAAATACCGCCATTTCACTTTCAATAATCGATTAATTTATGATATTATAAATTCTTAGATCTGACCAATACATACATAAAACTCTTTTTATTTAAACTATAAGGATAATAAGAGTTCTATAAGTGAAACCAACCACTGGTTACAAGGACAACGGTGTTACCACTAACACCCTGTATAGATTAACATTTCTTCTAATACAAATACTACATTGCATCAAGACTAATTTTATTGTGTTTAATTTTCGCAAAATTTCAAGTTCAATTCAAAGTATTTAGAAGAGACTCAGGTCAATTAATCTACTTTTTAAGAGCTGTCAAAATTTATATTTTCTTAACCTGTGTGGGAATACCAGTAACACGCAGCAACATGACATAATAATTTAAGAAATTAAATATATTACCTGAATACACCAACTGCTTACAGTGATTTTCAAGTTTTAGTTTTTCTATTATTATGTCCAGGAAGAAAGCAGCTGCAAGGAAGTTAGGTGTCCTTGCAAAGGTTTGACGGTTCACGATCGTGCATGGGCTATTGCTGGCACATGTATGGTGCTGCCAAATGCCACCTAGCAGCTTTGGACTCAATGGAAAGGCATTTTAGGAGACTTAGATAATTTTACCAGTCTCGAGCACAGGTACAAAATAGCCAATCTTTCGGTGTACTACAGGAAATGCATTACTTAATTCCTCTTTCTCTCCTACCATTGGACAACTAGGCATTCGGCTGTTTGTTGGCCACATATTATACATTCGAACTAACCAATTTGCATGCACACTATTTCATGCAGGAAATAGAGTGAATGAGGCAATACACTCTATTATCAATCAAAATGTGTCAAAAAGGCATGTATGGTAATTCATAATGCTGTGTTAATCCCTACTTTAATTTTTATTTATTTTATTTTATTGCATCAAAGATTTTGTACAAAAGGCGAACTTAATGCTATATGGCATTCTCTAACAAATAAACCTTGTTGTGTAAATGTAATGTATGGTAATGAAAGTTGGGTGTGGCACAAGAAGCACGAAAGTAGAATAAATGCTATAGAAAGGCGGTCTTTAAGGAGTATGCTAGGGTTGAATCTGAATGACAGGGTGAGAAATTGTGTAATAAGAGAAGAGTGTGGTATTCAAGGTGATGTTGTGACCAGAATTAAGAAAGGAATGCTTCGGTGGTTTGGTCATGTAGAAAGAATGAATGAGGAAAGAGTGAAAAAGCAAATTTATATGGCAGAGGTGAACGGCAGAGTCGGGAAGGGACGCCCTAGAAGAAAGTTTATCGACCAAATTGGCGATATTTTAAAAATGGGCCACATTAGAAGTACCCTTAACCGACGAGCGTTTATGCGTAGATATATGGATGTAAAGGAGGCGAGGGAGGTATGTCAGGATCGTGCCAAATGGAAGTCCGTGGTCTCTGCCTACCCCTCTGGGTGACAGGCGTCAGTGTTTATGTATGTTGTGTATGTATTATACTATTTCATGCGTAGAGCAAAATATTGGAATAATTTGCACGCATCTGTCTTTTTATCTTATTACTATATAGGTACAGGCAAGGCAGGAGTAAATAGGCTTTTGTTAAACTAAGTCGGTGCGCTTTACTATCTTCGGCTGCATTACCATTTACCATCAGGTGGTACAGTAGTCAACTGTCTGAAAATGGTTAAACAATTGGTTTTTAAAATCAAATATATAATTTAATTTATTTTAACAGAATTAAAAAAATGAGAAGGTTCTATTATTTTACTATTATTATTATATATTCGACGGGTATGTTTTTTGGGTTCATTGATTTCTCGGAAACGGTTGGATCAATTTAAATGATTCATTAAATAGGCAATATTATTAGTGTTATATAAATTTGAAGATAAAATTTTATCCCTAAGGCGCGGGTCACGCTAGAGCCACCGCGGTGAGCGGAGGCGACCTGCGGCGGCGGGAGACGTGAAGACGCTGCGTTTCATCTTGCTATTATTGCGCGGGTTAAAAAATAAGATTTTCTAAATTGGCACTTTCATGTCTAGAAAGTAGTTTTTTTTATGTAAATTAAAATAGGAGTTCATAATTTAAACTAAAACTGGCATCAGTTTGGTGAATATCGTAGACTATATGATGAAATACGTCAATATTCACAAAAGTTTGAGAAATATATTATCCATAAAATTTTCATGCTTTCTGGACCATATTGCAGACATTATTTCGCTAATAAACGTCTCCGTATTTACATTTTGAATTGCGGAAAAATCAACATGTTTTGATTAATCCGCAAGACGCGCGAACACGTACTGTCTACCGCTGGTCGAGGTCTATAGACGCGCGTGCTAGACGCGCCAACATGGCACTCTCTTTATGTTGTTTTTCCCGCTCATCGCAGACGCAAGTCGCGTCGCGCTAGCGTGGCACACGACTAAGTATCCCCGGTTAGCATCCGATATATCCATCCTAAAAAGCATCTCTAAGGGTGCAATAATATGGGATGAAGACTTTTGCGTAAATATAATATATATAAGACACAAGTTTGCGCGTTAACCGCTAAAAAGAACCCCTTTGTCGTAACTCCTCAGTTTCAAGGCACTCCCCTTGTTGCCTCAGCCAGTATCGGAATCCTCGGCGTTGACATATCGAGTGACGTGCAGTTTCGTGGTCACTTGGAAGAGAAGGCCAAATTGGCCTCTAAAAAGCTTGGCGTGCTCAGCAGAGCGGGACAGTATTTCATGCCGGCACACCGCCTGCAACTTTACAATGCGCAGGATTCGGCCGCACATGGAATACTGTTCCCATCTCTGGGCTGGGACTCCCCAGTACCAGCTCCTTCCACTAGACCGCATCCAGCGCATAGCGGCTTGAATCGTCGACGACCGAGTGCTTTCCGATCGGATCGATGCACTGGCACTGCGAAGAGATGTTGCATCTCTTTGCATTTTATTTCGCATATACCATGGAGAGTGCTCTGAGAATTGTTCGGATTAATCCCAGCCGCCAAATTTCGTGAACGCACTACGCGGCAAACGTCCCGATACCATCCACACGATGGTGTGGATGGTTGGCGGTCCACCACAGTACGTTTCAAAAGGAGTTTTCTTCCGCGTACAGCCCCTCTGTGGAATAGTTTACCACCGGCAATTTTTCCGGACCGATACGACCTGGGGACCTTCAAGAAAAGAGCTTACTCCTTTCTAAAGGGCCGGCAACGCACCTGCAATTCCCCTGGTGTTGCGGTTGATCATGGGCGGCGGTAGTCACTTAACGTCATTGCGGTGAGCCGCATGCTCGTTTGCCCCCTCTTCCATTAAAAAAAAAGTTATTACCTCCAGATATCGGTTTGTAGTTTTTATTAAAAGTTAAATTATTAAATAAATCTTATTTTCACAAAATGTCATAAAATCTTAATTTAACTTAAATCTAAAAATCAACCAATATAGGTTTTGTCAAATATAGGTTTTGTCAAAGTATCAAATTTAAAATATATGATGTAGTAATTTCATAACGGTGTTTTCAACTACGTACTAATTTTTAACGTGATAAAACCCGTTAAATTATTTCTTATGAAAATATTGTACAAAATATTATACACAAAGGCATTACTATAAAGTAGGATTGAAACATTTTTTATATTATACATTTACATGAGTCGCCAAAATGGCCGGAATACACAGAAAGTTTTGCTTATAAATAAATTATACATCATAAAAATAGTTTCTTGTTGTATTTGGTCTAAAATATTAAAAATCTAAGCATATCTCATTTATCTGAAATCCTCCTCGGTGGTTGGCTTTTGGCTTTGCTGTAGATGATGTCTAAGAAGAGACCTGTAAAGTATCAAAAATCATGTCATAAATAAAAAAAAAATTAAAATTAAGCATTTTTAAGATTGGTCTATACCTACAAACTACCATTGTGGGTTAGTAGGGGATAGATCTGTGGGCTGTTCTCTTGCATTGGTTTTTATTTGTTTTTCTCCTGCATCGTGGAGGCAGTTTACAAACATAAATTGCACAAGGACTAACATCCAGACCAGGAATAATTATTGATAGGCCATACAAATACTTGAAGCGACAGTAACCTAATGGCAGGGTGCGCACCGCGAATTCAATAAGGTCGTGGGTTTGAATCCGCCATTCGACTACTGGCGTGAACCAATTTAAGCTTACCACGAGTGGTAAAGGGGAATATTAGTAATGTTTATAGCATTGTTAATATTCTTTAAAAAAATACTGGTTCCGTGTGGCATTCGAAGCCCCAGCACAGCAACTCCACAATTGCAAAGTGCGCCGTTGGTTCTTTTTATATACACAGTACACCTGATGGTAAAAGGATGCTGTGGTACATCTCCTCACCCTCCTCTACTCCTCTATCTCACCTCACCTCATCTAGTCTCAATTAAAAATCCTAGTATTTCGTTATAAATCCTACAGACTAAAATAAGAATAGCTTGTTACCAGTAAAAAAGGTCATCGATTCACTACACTCACCATACGAAACCCAGCAGCACTAAGCTGCTATTTTATTCTAGCTACGTAATAAGTACTACGTAGTAAGCGCGCGAATCGAGTGCAGAGCTTAGGAATCTGTTACCGTCAATTAGTGATATATGGATAAACTGCACATTAAATAACAAATTTTAAATCTTGATGTTAAAGTTTGTGTGAAATTTTGTAACCACGTACATATTTCCATAACTATAAAACAATTTTGATAAAATTTAAAATATTGAATAAAAAACAATAATAATTGTCAAAGTATTATTTATTTCTTAAATAGAGAAAAATAATCAGTATTTAACCATAACCATTCATCAGTTTATAAAGTAAAAGATATGTCCGAATCGTCATCACTTCATCCTCTCCTTCGCTGATCTCTATCACAAATCTTTCATTAAGCAATCGCTTTGCCAATAATTATGTTCTAAGCGTATTACATAATCATCAATCTGAACTGGCATTGTGATGTCTAACAATTCTTTTCATTTTTGCTCAAGCCAACTGTGGTAATCTACTACGACATAGCCATGGTTCCTTATGAATTGATCTACTTTAAACGTCTTTTCTCTAGGCTTATGCAAATCAATAGTCACACATTACACATTATTTTTATTTGGCCATTTCAACATTACAGGTTTGATGCAGGACTTAGTAGCGACTTTATTATCTTGTACACTATGGTACGGTGCGTTGTCCATTATGATGACGCTGTTTATTGGCAGGATCTGAATAAGCATTTAAGAGACCCGCTTTTCAAAATTGCATTAGCTTTTCACACAGTTCATTTGGCCGTGATAATCTGCTGATGGAGTACCAGCTTTAAAAAGCAGTCCTCCGTGTACAAGAATGAGCCTGTTTGTGGAACTGGTATCCATCAACACTGCATCAATCTTATCATTTCTCCAGGATTTTGTAAAAGTTAAATTATTATCAATCCCACGTTTCATCCAAAAATAATATATTTCTATTTTCTTGTCTATATTGACGGATTTTTCGCAAATATATTGACCGAGCGAATACAATGCTGGCCTTTCCACTAAAATACGTTTATGGTGACACTTAGGCCACATATATCCCATTTCTTCTAATAATTTTCTTAAACAAATTGAATTTTCATGGGTAGTGACCACCCCATGGAAACTCTATTTTTTCTCTAATAGCTGATAGAAGTAGAAGGACATGTAGAACAATTTTTTAAGTCATATAAAATTCTTCTATAGTTCTTTGTATTAAACTTCTATCAAAATCGTCAACGTCCATATTTAGTTTTTCTTACACGATCTTTCTTTTTAGAAGGCGAACGTGTTTAGCTTGTTTTTGAATAACAGCTAATGTCCGGTATAACTCGACCAAACTAATCATTTAATGGCAAGGTCAAAAAATCCCTTTGTGGCGATGAATGTAACACGTTTTATTGTAACTTTTTGAGCTGCTGAACTCGAAGGCCCCGGTTCGGTCTTATTTAAACACAAATGTACGACAAACACTAAAACAGAATCGATATGCGCGATAATTTTCATAGACAAAAGACAACTAGGGGTCACAAAGCGGGATCCCGAGTCTCGAAAATACCAGTATACCGGACTGAAACGAAAGCTTTAAAATACCGGAATTGAGTGAACGGAAACCGGTATTTACGACTTTTCGGTATTTCATTATAAATCTTTGTTAAATAATATTATGTCGAATAATTTTAAATAGCCCACGCTTTTCGCGTGGTGGATGCCATGGCAACGCAGCTCGACTATGCGACGCAAGTCACGCGACTACACTCTGGAGTGAGTGAGAGAGAGTAACCTACTCCCGAGTCCTGAGCCGACGACGAATCCGCCCGCTCGCCTATACAACTAATGACGGTGCTAGTGTAATGATCGCATTTGGAAGAGAAGCAGCACTTTTCCACGAGCAATGCCTTTGTCATGGTATAGTTAGCGATATTAGACGTGCTCTATAAAAAAAGAAAACAGTTCTCAAACTCAACTAAGAGAACTGGAAGATCACGATTCTTATGACTTTGCTTTGGAATGATATGGAAAAAATTACTATGACGAGGGAATGACTGGGTGTTACCATCTTCTTGGGATCCTATAAATTATAAAATTAAATCCCAAAACAAGCATACTGTTGCAAGACTTCAAGATACGCCCATTCTGCGTACATCGGACCAAAAACTAATAATTGTTAACTGAAGGTAGCCGTGTTTAACTATGACACCTGGACGGGAATATAAAATAAATTAAAATAGGCAATAAAATTCGTAAAATTTAGTTTCATTTAATCTTCTTCAATTCATTTAAAAGTAAATTTATAACATTCTTAGCTATCGAATTTAACCTATGAACCAGATTTTCTTCTTCTCTAGAGATATCGCTTTTGAAACCGGTGGTAGATTTTAACGTTCTTAGAAGTTTTAGATGATCGTAAAGTGAAGAATATATATAACTCTTTCTAACTACACCATGGAACAAAGGAAGCTAATGTAATGTAAAGCTAAGTAAATGTAAAGCTCTACTTGATTTCCATGAAAAAAGTGAAGAAAAAAAAGATAATTCGCCCAAGAGCATTTTATGTTTTATTAAAGCTGAGTATAATGAAGAAGTTTATAAGAACATGAAGAAGTAAGCCTATGAAGAAGTTACTTAGCAGGAGTCAAAGATGTTTATATCTTTGGCAGGAGTATTTTATGTTATTGTTAAGGTTGATTACTGGAGGTTTCTTATGTTTAAATAGTTTAAAATAACTTAGCAGCAGTGAGTTATTTATTAAACTTTAAATAAATGATTAAATTTTTTAAACAAATGTGATTTTCTTATCATATCACACTTTTATTGATTGGCTGGTGACAATCGCTTATGAAAATTACGGTTACATTACATATTTTTAAATATTTTTCTCACTATGTAAAAAAAAAACGAAAATACCGAAACTACCGGAATCTCGGTATTCATTAAAAACTAATACCGAAAACACCGGTTTTTGAAAAGAGGTCCGGTATTACGACCCCTAAAGACAACGCTACACTATGGGCGTTCGAAGCAAGGGAGGGAGGGCACCATCCCGCCCTTTACCTCAGACCCAAAGTCCCAAACTGCATTCAACTCGTGTGCCTACTGCACGTACGTACGCAACGCATTTTGTGAAAACGTGATCCTTTCCCGGTTCATACGACCCATATGTGCTACAACCATAATATAGCTGCAACGTGGCTCTATTCTGCTACTGTCCATTACCAGTGTATGTAGTGGTATTAGTATATAGTGTTTACATAGTATAGTAGTGTATGTAGTAGTGGCATGTAAGGCTTTTTGGATGAGTTTTTTTGGCATCAGTCGATCAAAGCGACGAAGCCCCAATGCGTGTTGGCAAACTTCACATGTTTTCGAAATATTTTTTTCTTATTAGTTAGACATGCAGCTTTCCTCACGATATTTTCCTTCATCGTCGAGCACGTGGTTAATCATTACTTAACGTGGCTATTAACAATTTCATTGGTCATGGCAGGGATTGAATTGTAAAATTATTATTTTTTTATTAAAAAAGCCTATTTTTACCGTCCCTTAATTTTTTTTCACAAAACTGTTGAAAAGTTGTTCTTTTATAAGAACGAAAAAAAATTACTATAAAGTTGTAAAATCAAAGCCATATTGACTTTGCATTTGAGATTGTAATAAGCCTTCAGACAGTTTCTGACTGATGTAATAAGCTTTCTCTAATTTAATGATATTGCTATCATAGGAATCCGCACTAGTGTCTAAAAAGATTACCAAGCCTAAAGTTTATTGCAGCAAATTAATAAAGAAAGCCAACTCACATAGAGAGGGCTAAACTAAGATGAAAGATATAACATCCATAGTTATATTTCATCTACTTTCTCATTTAATCCATACGAGGGCGGCACTGAAAATTTCGGGAATCAAGGAAGTGACACAACATTACTATTTAAAAATGTATTTATTGCTTTTCGAAGTATTCTCCGCGAAATTTGACACATTTTTCCATACGATGGAACCAATCATTGAAGCAACCATTCCATTCGGAAGTTGGGGTCTCCAAAATGGCCGTTTTGTAGACGTCCACAGCTTCTTCAGGTGATGAAAATCTCTGTCCACGCAATTTATTCCTTATTTTAGGGAAAGTATAGAAATCATTAGGGCTTAGGTCGGGGCTGTACGGCGGATGGTCTAATAATTCTATGTTTTCTTGCTCTAAAAACTCTTTTGTTCTGTGTGTGGTGTGAGAACTCGCACTGTCGTGATGGAGGATGATGCGGCAGTTGCAGTTCTCTTTACGGAGTTAAGAAACGACCTGTGGCAAACAAATGCTAGCATACCATTCTGCATTAACCGTTCTTTGTCCCTCAAGAGGAACAGTCGTAACATGGCCGGTTTTGGAGACAAACGTGGCCACCATTTTTTTTTGCAACACTCCGTGAACGAACAATTTTTGTTGGCTTTAACTCATTTTCGAACACCCAAACCGACTGGTTTTTTGTTTCGGGTTCGTACGCGTATATCCAGGATTCGTCACCTGATACGATGTTGTATACAGCATTTGAGGATCCTGCGTGGAACCTTTCGAGAGTTCTGACGCACCAAGTAACGCGAGCCGCTTTTTGCTCTTCACAGAGCGAATCCATCGGGAAAACAACTTTTTTACACCTAATTGTTCATGCAAGATTATTTGTATTTGACTCATGCCAATGTCTAAAGTTGCCTGAATTTCGCGGTATGTCACATGTCGATCTTCCTCAATCAGCTTACGCACAGCATCAACGTTTTCTTGTGTGACTGCAGTTTTTGGACGACCTTAACAGGGATCATCACTGAGCTTGACACATCCACATTGAAATTCAAATTCAAACCAGCGATAAATTGTGGTTTTGGATGGAGCTTCATCACCAAATGCTGAAATCATCCGGTCAACACACTGTTTTTGTTTTAAACCACTGCGAAAGTCATAATAAATCATCGCTATTGAATTTTCTCGAGTCAATTCCATTTTCTCAGCGACTAAACAAGTTTGACAAAACCTTGTGAGAAGACCGAGAATCTTTTTTTTTAATAAATAAATGGTATTCGATTTTTAAAACCATGGAGTTTTCAATTAAAAAGATTTTAATATGACAGGAACAGAAGAAATATTCCATTCCCGATACTTTTATTGCAGCCCTCGTAGTTTCAGATTTTATTATTTACCATTGCTTTTTCACTGCTGGCTATATGAGGAAGCTTAAGGTCGCTCAGTGAGCTATGGAGACGGCTGTTCTCGGGGTTCTCTACGTGATAAACTTAGAAGAATATCCGCAGTAGCACTGAAGTAAATGAATTAGCCCAACGGATTAGTAAGCTGAAGTGGCAATGGGCCAGCCATATAGCTCAAAGAACCGACAACCGATGAGGAGAAAGGTTCTCGGGTGGCAGACTCATACCGGTAGGCGAAATATAAGGCGGTCCCTCACTAGATGCAGTGACGACATGGTAAGACATGCAGGAAGTCGATGGATGCAGGTGACTCAGGATTGTGCTTTGTGGCATTCCTTGGGGGAGGCTTATGTTCAGCAGTGGACTGTTGAAGGGCTTTAATAATGATAATGATATTGCTTTTAGTTTAAATGGAGGAATTAACAGTTGAGACTACTTGATTGACAGTGTGGTAAGAATACTACAGTAGAGCAGTACAAAAAGCACTTAATACCTTCATCACTTTTGGTAAGTTTTATATGATGGGGAAAGAACAACCTTAGACATTATTGTAATCACGTATTTGGGCTGAATTTAGTTTTAATGATATATAACTTAACATATATAAATATTATTTGTTTAAAAGTTATAACACAGTATACAGTTTGTACTGAAATCTGCCTTACATATATGTCTAAAATGATTTTCACTTATTTAATCGCTTAAATAAGTATTTATCTTTTTACACCGGCTCTTTCAGCCTTTAAATAATCAATCTAACAGCCGATTAAACTATCAAGCTGTGATGGATACCTGACGAAAGATAGCGCTAACCTAGCTGTGCTCATAAACAGAATCTAGAAAGTCTTGCTAACTAGAAAATGTAAAGCCAAGATTTCTACTCACCAGAGAAAACTAATATGGCGCCTATCCATTGGCGAGTAAGCAACACGTTGCCGAAAATAACAACAGAGGCGAGGACCGTGAAAAACTTTCTGGTCGTCGTAACTACTGAACATGGTAGCGGGCCAAACTCTGCGACCTGGAATTTCCAAAAGAAATTAATTAATAAAGTTTTCCGTCAACTGTAGGATCATTTAACATCATTACAGCCCTTCAAAGTCCACTGCTGAAGATAGGCCTCCCTCATAAATAGTATATAATAATACTTTTGGCAGTTGGTTTGCCAACTGCAGATTTTTTCACTTTCTAGTTGTAAAAAGAAAGACGCTGTAGTCCATCAACTGGTTGCTTTCCCTCTGTCACTTCTTACGACACCCATGGAATGATAGGACATAGTAGATCTTCTTACCGCTGCTTTACAGTAAACTGACTACAACTAACTGTAGTGTGGAATTGTTTTACTACTACTTTGTTTTTGATATTGGAGTAAGAAGTATATAATGTACAAATATATCCCCCTGTACTATCTCTTTATGGAATGATTTACCACCAGCGATTTTTTCGAACCGATACGACCTAGAGGCCTTCAATAAAAGAGCTTGCTGCTTTCTAAAAGGCCAGCAACGCACCTGCAATTCTCCTAGTGCAGGCAGTAATGGTGGTCCGGGTGGCGATAGACACCATCAGGTGAGTCGTATGCTTGGTTGCTCTCTCTTCTATAAAAGAAAAGAAGGCATGGGTTTTCACTACCGAGGACTGGAATTGAATGCCTCAAGGCTTTTTATTATACTGGTTCTACATCCTTCAAACCGAAATACAGCTGTGGGTTGCTCTGTTGCACGAATGGTACCAATTCAGATATATGCCTTAGTAAAAAAGTTTTTCTTTTTGTTCTTTTTGTTTTTCATTTCTTCTTGTTCTTAATTTAAACTTTTAAAATATTTCATAATCATTAATTTATTTATTATTTTAATTTTATTTCAATATACAGTGTAAACTCCATGTAACTTGATTTAACGACAAACGGCTTTGGTTGGTTAAGCTTGATTTTCATACAATGATACATTCTGTAAAGCATTACACCCACTGTGAATAACGACAATAATTAAATAATAAAAGTAAAAACTGCACAGCTGTGTACATTTTTTTGTCGGTTTATTATCCTAGCCCGTAATAAACTCAACTGTCAGCATCATACATACCAAACTCTCTAAGATATCCGTTATTTTGATTAAATGGGTTTGCTTACTTTATCACCAAGATGACTCAATATCGCAAGATGTTAATAAAATAGGTTAAAAATACAACACAATTACTGGTTCAGCAAAAGGCGTCAGACGAAAATAACAGATTATACGCAATAGCGTTCAAATAACAATTGTTTTTAAGTAATTACTAACCCTGGTCTGAAATAAACATTTTCTTTTTCTAATACAGATTATTCTTCATTCCATTTAACAACAACTCTCTATAAAGTCAAAATATGCGCAGTCCCTTGTGTGTCGTTTATATAGAGTTTACACTGTATTTATGGTGTTGTCTTCATCCCCAGTGTCTGCAGTATTATAATAATATATTATATTAATCAAGTCACATCAAGTCTGCAAAACAGACATCCCCATAGATTATCTTATAACACTATGGCAAATATCCCCCATATTTCCCATAGATGCCACTATTGATTGACGGGTCTCATAGTAATCACAAGCTAACCCCATTTCTTTACAATAATCCGATAATTTACTGTTGAGATCATTATTACATTCACTAAGTAGTAATCAGCTCAATTTAAAATGTATATATTGTCAAATCCATATTTTTGACATAAAAAGACCAATTATATTTGGGGAAGAACTGAGCCCTTTTGAATCCACTGTTTTTTTTTTGGGATCACTCTCAACGTAAAGTTCCGGTGGGTAACCCATGAACCCAAACTAGTAAGCAGACCAAGCTCTGCAGCTAGCTGTAAAAAACAAATTGAGGTCTCACCAGTGTCAAGACAGTAAGATTAATTTATTTCAGTTATTTCCATAGCATAATGTCTTATGGGATTTTAGTATGGGGAAATGCGGCTGATTTAGATACTTTTTTTATTTTGCAATAGAGAGCGATAAGAGCTATTAACAACTTAAAATCTTAAAAAAAATTCTGGACCGATATGACCTATGGACCTCCAAGAAAAGAGATTACTCCTTTCTAAAAGGCCGGCAACGCACCTGCAATTTCCCTGGTGGTGCAGTTGATCATGGGCGGCGGTAGTCACTTAACATCAGGTGAACCGCGTGCTCGTTTGCCCCCTCTTCTATAAAAAAAGAGTCTCTTAGAGAAAATTTGAATAAATAAATATATTAACTTTAGCTTCTCAGTACATTTATGAAAATTTTATGTATGTTCACAAAACAAAGGTACTTTTAGTAAAAAAAGGGATATACACTGTAAATACTAGGAACAAACACAGAGCTAGTGAGAGTTTCTGACTCCACAAAGTCAGTAATTGATTCTTGTATACGCTATTACAACAAAGTCCCAGAAAATATACAAGGTCTCTCTATTACCAAGTATAATTTTTACTGTATAAAAAGGGTTTATATATTATAATATAAATAAGCACATGGTGATAATAACGCCGGGGAATGAGGTGGCCGCCTTCAAGCTGTTTCTAAAATAAATTTTGTAAATAGTTTGTACAATCTTACATATTGTAAAATTTACTTTAAAAAAGTCCCGCTGGGCTTTTGCTAGTTTTCCAGGACATGTGGCATGTGGCAGTGGCAAAGTATAAATGATTTTCAATAATAATTACTTTATATATTTATTATATTGACTAAAATTATTCTATAGCAGTGGACTCAGAAGATTTTATAAAAAAAAGGGTTATTATAATGTTGTGATTACACAGTTTATAATAACTCCTGAGAATAACATGATCACTTCCAGTGTTTTTTATGTGTGTTGTAAATTAATATTAAACCCTAATTTTGTACTGTATAATGTTACTGTGGGAAAAAAGTTTTGTAGGGTTTCTTCTTGCTGGTTTTTCCTAGGACAGAGGTGTCTTTCCAAACCAGAGGTCAAAGTGTTTTATTTTATTTTATTTTAGTGATTTAAATAATATTTACCATGTAAAATATGAAGAGTTGACCCAAAGCGCCCATCAACGAAAATCCGGCCAAGTAAATCAAGATCTCAGGATATTGCATTACGAATGTAACAAATTTGAATATCTCCCCACTTAACAGCACGCTGATCGACAAAATTACTGTAGACCTGTGGATAAAATTTTTAATTACCTGATGGTTCACTAGATCACACAGACAGATGTCTTATTTGGCAATAATAACGAAAAAAATATAAACTATAATACGATGTAGGGCTAAAATAATATCTCACTTGTAAAGTAGCCACAAGAAATTGTTGATAATGACACATTCCTAAGAATATAGGCTACTGCAAGTCACAAATAATGAGACATATATGATTACACATTTAAAGCAGTTGGGTAACTTCTTACTAACACTAGCAAAATAATTGTAAGCATTATTAAAAACAAATTTTTTAATGTGCTAATAAACTTTTTCATGCGCTTCATCTTATCGCTGGCAACATCATAATCTGCTTTAAAAAAAGTTTAAAAGTTGTGATATTTTCGCAAATGCAATTAACAGTAGAATAATAGGCAAAATAGACAAATTTATTTTCGCACCCTTCGCACAGCATTTGATTCTCTAAAGCATAAATATTACATGCTTTAGAGAATGAAATATTTATTAAACAAATTCCCTGCCCATGAAAGACACAATAGTAATAATTACAAAAATGCTTAGTGGTACATGGATAAAAATTAACACAGAATAAACTTTAGCTGTTATATTTAAATTAATAAATTAAGTGTTATATATTACTTTTACAAAAGTTAGCTAATTAAAAAATTACAAAAATTTAACTTACCATCCATTTGTATTCACCATCATGGAATATGCTGTTGGTGAAGACTCACTTTTAATCCGTTCCTGGAAACAGAAGTTTAACAACAAAACATTAACATTATGCCAAATTAAAATTTTTTACGTGGTAGTGCCATGCTGCAGTTATATTAGTTGTAGCACAAATAGGTCGGCTCGACTGGGGAAGGACCACGCTCTCACAGAATACCAGCGTAAAATAGTAGCCTGCTGTGTTTAGAATGGTGAGTGTAGAGAATCGGAGACCCTTATTACTGGAAATGAGACATTCCACCTAAGTCCTCACGGATGACAACGCATCTACATTTTGATATTCGTAATCGAGGATAGATGTAGATGTCTAGCCACAGCAACCACTTACCATCAGGTGGACTGTGTGCTCGTTTGTCATCCTATACTATAAAAAAAATATAATTATAATAAACATCCTGCCTCGAAGGCAATGTATGGGTAGGTCTATTTTCAGAAGTGCACTTTGATAGGCTATAATGAGGATGATTATGTTAACTAGATGGGCTGAATATGGATTTCACCGAATACGAATATTCGGCCGAATATTCGGTTAAATTTTTACCGAACTGAATATTCGACCAAACATTATTCGGCAAGATAACCTCGGGACTTAACCAATTTATGTCGAAATTTGTTACCGTAAAGCACATGGGATTATCGCCGGACCCTGCCTCTCGCCACACCTGACATGTTATTGCATTATCTAGTACTGAGCAAATTGCCGGCACATGCTTATGTTTTGATTATTCTTGTGATAAAAAAAGTATTTCATTGTTTTATTCTTAATTAAAGTTAAAGTTATAGCCTATATACGTCCCACTCCTGGTCACAGGCCTCCGCTCATTTCTGAGAGAATTATAGGGCAAGGAATTGTCCACCGCACTGCCCCAATATGCTTGTTGGCGAACTTTACATGTCTTCGAAATAATTTTTTTCTTATTTCTCAGACATGCAGGTCTCCTCACGATGTTTTCAAAATTTTTGTAAATCAGCACTTAAAATTGCAATTAATAATTTCATTGATGCCAGCGGGGATCGAACTCGGTTTGGTCCTACACTGTGAAATTTACAGCGAGCGCTAACCATCTGAGCTACCATGGCTCTTTATTCTTAGTGAATAAGGTAAAGAGCCGTAAGAATTATATCTTTAGTGAAAATTAATAATTATATGATAAAAATGAGCAGCAGGAGATTTACTATTTAGACTTATTTTAGAGAAACTGACGACCAAAGTAAAGTGAAATGTACTAATGTAATGTTTCTTTGCTTGATTCCAAAAATATTTTATCAAGTTTCTATTTGCCATAATAGTAAATAAATCCACAGTGCCTCAAAAACATAAATGTATAGATTTATGCATTTGAGGCACTCTTAGAGTAAGTAGATTTAACCCATAAATAAAATATACTTTCAACAGTAAAGTACATCGCATTACTTAATTCGTACATTTCAATACATTGGACACTATGAAAATGTTCGGTTCGAATGTTCGGTGATTTAGCCGAATATTCGGCCGAATACGAATATTCGGTAAACCTGCCGAATATGCCGAATACCGAATATAAAACGAATATTCGGCCCATCTCTAAAAAGAACCAGCAAAATGTAATCAATTTGTTACAAATTAATTTTGCCAATCAATATACTTATATATAAAGCTATTACTATAATTGGTAAACATTATCAAAGTAAGTTAACTTTTTATTGTCTTTTTTCAAAGCCCATTCCATATATAATTCACTTCACTTCACTTCACTTGATAAGGATCTCTGTGGTAGTAAGAATGGCTTGTCTTAATCACAACACATGGCAGGTGAATTAGCAGTCTCTATACCATACCTCCTGCATTTTTGATTCCTAATACAAACATATAGAAACTTTTTTTCTATTTAAGTGTTTGAAATGACATATACCTGCACAGCACCAGTAAGACCATCCATGGTCAGTGAAAGAAGAAGCAGCAGTTCTCCCACACCAAATCCTTGAGAGTCATTAGCAATGGTCTTCTTGCCTTGATCCTTATACATAAAGAGCACCACACCAATAACAATCAGCAGTACAAAGAAATATTTCTTGAGTGGATACGCCTTATGGCCTATCAAGACACCAAGTATCATCACAGGTATTGGTTTTGCAGCCTTCCCAACAACCTAAAAACATTTATATACCTATGTTAATGATAAATTATTTTTCATTTACCATACATATTGTTTAAATTAAGGATTAACACTTTTACATTAAGTGATCAATTCTTGCATTAGTTTCTTAGAAATGGTTCCAACGTTTTGGATAAAATTTTGTATTTAGATAATGATTTACTCGTAAAGTTTATATAGAAAAGCTTAGTTGCTAGGTGCTTTTATTAATGTCTGGTACATAATTTTTTGTTTTTATTAATAAAATAAAAAGATCAAAGTAGTGCAGTGGCACAATTTAAAGTAATGATAAAGTTACAGCCTATATACGTCGCACTGCTGGGCACAGGCCTCCCCTCATTTCTGAAAGGGTTTTTGGGGGGCACAATTTAGTAACAATAAATAGTAGGTATTAAAGGTATAATTAATAACTTTAAAAAAATATCTGTCCTTGAAATTTGTATATGTTGGACATTTAGACTATATCGCATCTTATGTACTCTAAAAAAAGAACGTTCTATAAATTGAACATGTGAAATGTTTTTCACATGTTCAATTTATAGAATAAGTAAAAGCAAACTGCTGCTGACTAAAGTGGTAAAGCTAATATGTATTTGTTGCAAGACAATAAATGTAGGACTTTTAATATTCTGAGCAAATTTTGTATTTCAAAGATTTAATTTTCAACCACACTACATGAATTATTGAGGTAACAGAGAGCTTTCTTTCGTATCTACTTTAAGTTGAGTGAGTTTAAATAAGGTACTGCAGATAGTAAATACATACTAAGAAAACTAATTATATTTACTGTTAAAGCTAAAGTTACAGCCTATATACATCCCACTGCTGGACACTGGCCTCCTCTCATTTTTGAGAGGGTTTGGGGTAAGGAAATGACTGCCTCAGTGCCCCAAAGCATGTTGGCAAACTTCACATGTCTTCGGATGTTTTTTTCTTATTCTCTGACATGCAGGTTTCCTTACAACGTTTTTCTTCACTGCTGAGCACATGGTAAATCAGCACTTAAAATTGCAACTAACAATTTTGACCCAAGTTGCTTGTCTATTGAGAATTTTACAGTAAACTCTTAGCATAACATGATCTACCATGGCATTTTACTGATTGAAAAATTACCTGCATATTTTACTTTTAAAATTATTATATTAACTTAGCACTATATAAGCGAAAAAATGAGCAGATTGTGCCCTCTATAGTGGTTTAAGTAGACTTATCAGCATCTTAGGTTGTGTAACGGCATCGAGACACAGCAGTGCATCAGTCAAGTTCAGAAAAAAAGTTGACCAATGTGCCTTCTTTAAATTCCTCATACACTTATAATAGATTTAGGAGGAGTTATGGCTGATAAACTATATTTTCTCTATAGAGGTAACGAAAAATTATTTCGTTGTCACCTGTGTGGGATAATTAATCCATTGCAAAGCCATATTTGAGCAGACCATAGCCAGAAGATATGTTAATGCTGATGAAATATAGTATACAGTCCTTGTTGTGTCTTTTTCATGTTTCCAGGACATCTGAAATATAATAGAAAAAGTTAAGATAGATCATATTCATCATCATTTTTATTACAGCCCATTACAAGTTCACTACTGAACTTCTGAGCCACCTACACAGCTCATCATTCAATCTTATAGCAGGTTGCCCTGCTCTGTCCTTACATATGAGGCTAACACTTAAGAATCTTTCCTTCTTCCATATTGTACAATGATGGCTTAATTGACTCCATCACCAGAACACCAGAGTGATGCTGCATAATGTTGCTGTATTTCTTATGGTGAAGTGCATAGTAAATCTATACAAAATTTATAGTTAAAAATAGATTTGTGTATATAGAGCATTAATTTATTGTCAGGCAGCCTATGTGCTCGTTTGTCGCTACTATAAATCATTACTTCGAGCTAAAGCTAGAGTTTTTTGAAATATCTTACCATCAATATTTGAGCAAACACATAATTTACTAAGCATTGAACTAAAACAAGCGACAATGCGCATGTGAACTTCTCATTTTCACCGTATTTGCCTCTGGTTATTTTTTCTTGTAGCATTCCAAATATAAAGTAACAAATAAATATTGCACTGGCATAAAAAATGAATCTGATTTCGGTTGTAGCTTTCGGCATTTTGTGACTTCAGAATTTCAAATTTTATGAAAGAGAGGTTTACTATTAAAGTTCTATTTAAACCCTTTGCAATATGTAAGGGTGACTCACTTGTACTTTTACTAGTGTAGTGGACACGTAATACATAATTTTGTTTTAAAAAGATTGAAAGTGCTAAATTAGAAAATCAACAAATGCCGTGACAACACGTACTTATGAAACGTCAACTTTGGGTCAACGTCAAGTGCAGTGTTGCCATCGTTGGTTTGGTTGCCACTAGGTTATCAATTAGTAATAAGCAGAAAAGAAGAGTTCTAGTTTTTTCGGATTACAATACTTACGCTATATTATAATAAATATTCTAAAATTATAAATTGAATAATTATATTAATAATATATTTATAATTGCGTTGTAACAGTAATCTAATAAAAACTGCGGTTGTCAACCCGCTCGCCAAGCGTGGCAACTATGGCAAATATCCCCCCATGAGTAACGACAAAACGGTAAGTCCCCGGGCGTGGATAAAATTACAGCGGAGCTTCTGAAAGCGGGTGGAAAACCGGTACTTGAAGTCCTTCAGAAGCTCTTTAATTCCGTCCTTCATGGAGGCACTACTCCCGAGGCGTGGAGCAAAAGTGCGGTGGTTTTGTTCTTCAAAAAAGGTGACAACGCCCTCTTGAAGAATTACAGACCGAAATCTCTTCTGAGCCGCGTCTACGTGCAGTTTTTGTGAGTCATTACAAATCGTCTCGCATGCAGACTCGACGACTTCCAGCCTCCCAAACAAGCCGGTTTCCGAAAAGGCTTAAGTACCATAGACCACATACATAACATTCGGAAAATTATACAGAAGTTCGAAGAGTACAATATGCCACTTTGCCTGGCGTATGTGGACTATAAGAAAGCCTTTGATTCCGTCAAAATTTGGTGCTACAGTCCCTTCAGCAGTGCCAAGTTGACTGTCAGTATATCAAAGTGCTGAAGTGTTAGTACATTAGGGCTACGACGGCTATCTGAGTACAGTACCAGAGTACGAAACAGACAGGGTGATATTATTTCCCCGAAACTCGTCACCGCTGCATTGGAAGATGTTTCAAGGTACTGGAATGGAAAGGATACGGTATTAACATCATTGGCGAGTACATCACTCACCTTTCGATTTGCCGACGATATAGTCCATTTTGGCAGAATCGCTGGAGGACTTAAGCACTAAGCTCAATGATCTCAATAGTACCTCCCAACGGATAGGTCTTAAGATGAATGGACAAAACAAAGATCATGTTTAGAAATGAGGATATATATATATATATATATATATATATATATATATATATATATATATATAAGGTATGTTCCGAACTCAACCATCCCAGCGGCAATACATGCACAATTTAATATTTTACTTATATTTCTCTACATTCTTTCTCGCTCTCCGTGTTATTATCGCACCAGTTCTGGATCGTTTGTAGTTGTCCTTTTCTTTAAGTTTACCATGTTTCATATTTGTTAATTGGCTAATTGACCACTTTCTGACGCTTACATTTTGGCGTGCTAGTAACATATCTACCTTTTTATTTCTGAATATCATTGATTGAGACAGACAACATTGCGCCTACAAAAACTAAATTTATTTATTAATTTATTTATTTAATTCCAAAACTCTTGTGGCTTACAGAAAATCCAACACGCTCACAAGATTTAATTTTACATGCAAAAAATATTACAAAAAATAATCTAATTATAACAAACGAATTAATAGGTATCACTTATGAATTTCTGAGTCTATCACGCAGAGAAACTCCGAGCATAGCCCTCTCCATAGCTCGCTGAGCGACCTTAAGCGTCCTCATACGGCCAGCAGTGAAGGACCACGTCTCAGATCCGTAAGTCATCACTGGCAACACGCACTGGTTGTACAATCTAGTTTTTAGAGATTGAGGTATACCTGACGAAAAGATATGCCGTAATTTCCCGAACGCTGCCCAGCCGAGTTGAATCCGTCGATTGACCTCTCGGTCGAAGTTGGACTTACCTAGTCGGACTATTTGTCCCAGGTAAACGTATTCGTCAACAACTTCGAGCATAGTGCTCCCAACAACTACCGGCATAGGTGTGACATGGACATTGAACATGATCTTTGTTTTGTCCATGTTCATCTTAAGACCTATCCGTTGGGAGGCACTATTGAGGTCATTGAGCATAGTGCTTAAGTCCTCCAGCGATTCTGCCATAAGGACTATATCGTCGGCAAATCGAAGGTGAGTGATGTACTCGCCATTGATGTCAATACCGTATCCTTTCCAGTCCAGTAGCTTGAAAACGTCTTCCAATGCAGCGGTGAAGAGTTTCGGGGATATAACGTCACCCCGTCTTACACCTCTCTGCAGTTGGATAGGTTTCGAGCTCTGGTTCTGTACTCGGATAGCCATCGTAGCCCTACTGTACAAACACTTCAGCACTTCGATATACCGACAGTCAACTTGGCACCGCTGAAGGGACTGTAGCACCGCCCAAATTTCGACGGAATCAAAGGCTTTCTCATAGTCCACATACGCCAGGCAAAGTGGCAGATTGTACTCTTCAGTCTTCTGTACAATCTGCCGCAGGGTATGTATGTGGTCTATGGTACTGAAGCCTTTTCGGAAACCGGCTTGTTCGGGAGGCTGGAAGTCGTCAAGTCTGCGTGCGAGACGATTCGTAATGACTCTCGAAAACAGCACGTAGACGCGGCTCAGAAGGGAAATCGGTCTGTAGTTCTTTAAGAGAGCGTTGTCGCCTTTCTTAAAGAACAAGACCACCGCACTTCTGCTCCACGCCTCTGGAGTAGTGCCACCATGGAGGACGGAATTGAAGAGCTTCTGAAGGACTTCAAGTACCGGTGTTCCACCCGCTTTCAGAAGCTCCGCTGTAATTCCATCCTCGCCTGGGGCCCTGCCGTTTTTAAGGTGCTGGAGAGCCATTCTAATCTCGCTTAGACTGACGTCCGGGATATCATCGGAATAGTGTCGGATAAGACTTGCTCTTGGATCGTTACTCACACTTGCGTGTGGCTCCAACGATGATGTGTACAGCTGCCCATAGAACCTCTCAATCTCACTCAAAATCTCAGGTGTCCCGGAAACGATGTTGCCACACTCAGTCTTCAGCCTTGACAGTTGGCTCTTTCTGGCAGACAGATCTCTGGCAAAGACTTTGGAGCCCTGGTTCCGCTCGATCGCTTCTTTAATACGAGAAGTATTAAAGTTGCGTAAGTCTCGCCGTATGCATTTGGAGATCTGTCTGTTCAGTTGCCTGTATGCTGTCAAATCTGTTGACGATTGCAGCCTCATCTCCCGTCTAACAGCCATGAGATTAAGAGTGTGATCGGAGAGTTTTTGTGTTCTTCTGCGGCGGGTCTTACAGAACTTAGCTCCGACCGCATGGACAGTTTCCACGAGCTTGTCGTTCATATCGTCCACTGCATTGCAATCTTCTAGGCACTGGAAGCGGTTACGTAACTCGAGCTGAAAGGTTTCGGGATTCTGGATTAGAGTACGAGGGGGACGGAGCGTTGACTTCATTAGACGAGACCTCTCCAACTTAACGTTTAGGTTCAGTGTGCCTCTAACCATTCGGTGATCGCTGCCAGTTTTCACCCTTGCGATCACTGAGACATCACTGAACAGTTGGCGTCTGGTCGTCATAATGAAGTCAATCTCATTTTTTGTCGAACCGTCGGGGCTCGACCAGGTCCACTTCCTGTGGGGCCGCTTCTGGAAGAAAGAGTTCATCATAAAGAGTCCCTCTTTCTCCATAAAGTCGGCCAGCTGCTGGCCCCTTCGGTTCCGTTGCCCTACTCCAAATTTTCCCTACCTTCAGCTCACCGCTTTCTCTTGTGCCCAGTTTTGCGTTGAAGTCTCCCATCAACACCGTGTAGTAGTAAAACTATAATAATAGTATAAATACAGTTATATAAAAATATAACTGTATCCGCAGTAAAACCAGAGTGACCGACATAGCCCAACGGATTAGTAAGCTGAAGTGGCAATGGGCCGGCCATATAGCTCGAAGAACCGATAACCGATGGGGAAGAAAGGTTCTCGAGTGGCAGCCTCGTACCGGTAGGCGTAGTGTAGGGCGACCCCCCACTAGATGGAGTGACGACCTGGTAAGACATGCAGGAAGTCGATGGATGCAGGTGGCTCAGGACCGTGCTTTGTGGCATTACTTGGGGGAGGCCTATGTTCAGCAGTGGACTTGTGAAGGGCTGTAATGATGATGATGATGATGATGACTTATGAATTAATAATTAAAAATAATAATCATAAATTAAACAATTATGCAATATTAGTGTTTTAAAATATCTAAGCCTTTATCAGCGCATGTTGAGAAATTAAAATACGAAAATAAAATATTAAAATATGAGTATAAGAAGAAAAAGGTCACAATCATACAATGTCAGGCTATGAAATATTTTGTCATATTAATTTATAATGCAATGTTAATGCAATAAAAGCTAATTACAATATATGTCCATAATTAAAATTACATCTTAAATACAAAGTAATAAATAGTACATAGTCAAGCGAATTAAATTGTCGAATTATTAATTGTCTTATTATCGATAATATTATTAAAAAGATTCAGCAGACGTGTCATACTGTCTGCAAATATGTCAATTTCATCGTGTTGAGTGAGTATGTCCACTATTAGTATCAATGCTCGATTTGTTGGTGCATAGGCAGCACGTTTGGTACGTGTAACCGGTCTGTCTAGGAGACGCGGCCTACGGCGCGGAGCCACCGTTCCTCCATTATCTCTCTGCAGGTACCTGGGCACCAACAAACCGATTCTCTCAACAACCGACTGGCAGTCCAACTTGTGGTGAATTATAAAAAGATAATACCTACCTAATTGAAATAATGTTGCGGTTAATGAACAAACGTTACAAAATAATGTTATTTTC